TACTTTTCCTCTGTTAGTTTCTTTAAAATGTCCATGTTTAAATATCTCTTTAGATTTGTTGTTCTGAACTTTTATTTTTTTTTTGGATTAAGCCACCCTTGTTTCTTATCTCACTTCCGTGCTAACAGTGTAGCATGTGGGTGGGTGTGCAACTAATAGCCTGTGCTGCTATATGTGAGTCATACATGCATTAAAAGGACTGGCTTATAATCGGTCATATGGGAGTCTGACTGATCACCAGGCAAGGTGTAAAACACTGAAAATAAGCTGATTCCAATTCATGAACGGTCAATCGGTGCATCTCTACTTTTGTATTCATGACTTGATGCAGGTAATTTACTAAAAAGGTCATGACATCTCACGACACATCCTGTGGGTGACTAACAGTTTTCGAGGTAATCTGCAGAGCTCCTTTTACCGTATTCTGGCTTCAGAAACGTATAAGGTGGAGAACAGGGTAATGGGTTTAAAAAAATGAAAGAAAAAAAAAAGAATAAATTGAGATCGCATGTCTTACAACCCGATATACTCTAGAGGTATACCTATACAATAGTGACAGGTAGATGGTGCCTCATGGAGTGTGTAGCACATTACCCCTATTGTGTCGATGGGGTGTTGAGGTATTCATTAATAGCGACATCTACTGGACTTAACAGTGCATTGCAGGCATTGTGGAGAGAGACTGAACTAGGTTCTGAACACTAAATGAGTGAAGGGTCCTTCTTTATGTAACCAGCTGGTGATATAGTCCAATTAATTTGATTATAACAAAATAATGTAATTGAATAATATAGTATGCGAAATGCAGAATTCACAAAAATCTTTTTTTTTTCTTTCTTGTGTATGTGGGCGGAGACGGTAGAGTTAAATGATCCCAGATTGGAAAAATGTTCTTTTTCCTCCATGGTCCCTTTGTGTAGTGGGTGATGACAAGCCAAAAATTTAAAAACACAAATGGCACTTAAAGTGGTCTCGTCTACTCCTCAGCACAAATGCGAATGATTCAAAAGTTGCGCTTACGTGTCAGACACTGCACTGCTGTCTAGCACAGCAGCTGTTTCACCTATCGCATGATTTTTCTTACAGCGTTGCATGCACCGATGTGGGGTTACGCTTATAACTATAACATACTGGGTTAAGAGATTCCACTATTTGGCTAATTAGTTAAAAATGTGTCAAGTATTCAAAATGTGAGAGAGGTATGAAGAGCTAAAAGTGTGTTGTGCATGACTGGT